GACACCCGCATGAACAGCACGTCGGAGCAGACTGTCACAGGCCCAGCGCCTGCCTCGGTCCGTGCTGCTCTGTCCAGGTCCCTGTGCGCTGGGTACTTGCAGGGCCCATCCCCACAGCTGCTCACAGCCTCCGCTGGGCCTGACCCCCAGCCCTGGCAGGCAGGAAGAGGAGAGGCTGAGGGTGAGAACGGATGAAACGATCCTGCCGGCTGAAGGGAAGTGGAGCCTGCACCCATTGAGTTTGCAGCCTTGCTTTCACGTCTGCTCCACCCCACAGCACAGAGAAGCCGATTCCTGGTGTTACTGCAGGAGGCACCGCTGTGCTTTCACTGCCAGATCTGACCAGACAGACCAAGGAGCTGAAAGAGCATCTTCCTCCTCGTCCACCTCCAATACCTCTATGACCAAACCAGGCTTCATTCCTTTCACGTCCTCCAGCTCTTGCTTTGTTTCTGCATTCAGTTCACAGAGGCTTAATCTTTGGGGGAAAATGATCAAAAAAAGAAAGAAGAAAAGAAAAAGGCATTCATTCTCTCTGTGGGTATCTGTAGAAGCCATGGCCCCCAGCACACTGCACACCAGGGGGTCTTTGGTAGCACAGGCCTTGTCCCGCACCAGCTCCTCAGAGCCCGAGCACAGAGCACGGCCCCCCGTCGCAGGCCCTGCACAGGGAGAACAGAAGTGCGGCCCTTGCTAATAAGAGCCCCAACCCTGGGGCCTGCTGATCCCGCAGCGTCTCTGTCATTCCCACCCCTGCTGCTGCTCCCACCACCACCAGCTGCTTTGCACTGAGAGGAACGGGGAGGACAAAGACTGGGTTTTGGTCTGGAGCCTTTTCCTTCTCCCCACCCCACTGCCATGGGGAGCTCTGTTCAGGGCACAGCACATGCAGGTGGGACTGGGCAGCCCTTCCCCGGGGGCTCAGCCCTTCCTCACACAGGCTGTTCTGCTGCTTTCTCTGGGGCTGCTCCGTGTGCAGAGGGGGTGGGAGATGCGGTCTCACTAATCATCTCTGCATGGAAGCAATATCATGTCAGCTCTCCTTGCCGTGTCCTACAGCCCCTCCTCTCAGGCTGCACTAGCACCTTCCCCTACAGCCTGGTTCGGCCGCTCTAAGGAGAGGGTCTCAGCAGCGTAACACACCCTCCATGGGCGGCTTCCTTGTTCCCCACCACGCAGGAATGTTTCCGATTCATGGAATTACTGTATTTATTCCAGTCCAAGACAAGGTTGTTTTCCCCGTGCATCGTGGGGAAAGAAGTCCCTTGTCTTAGATTCAAGTAGTGGGAGTGGGGCAGGCTGGGGTGTAGGAAGGGGCTGCTGCAGCTCTGGCTTTGGACCCATGCTGGATGTCCTTAACCATGTCCTAAAAATTTCACTAAAAACTGTGTGGTCACCACACCCAACAGAGACCCACAAGCACAGCCCCAGGCATCTCCAGTCAGCCGCCCTATTCCACTGTCCAAACACCAGGACGAAGACACCTCGCCGTGTTGAACGTTCCCAGAGAGACCCTAGCGAGTGCCCGCAGGAAGCGCCATGCTCCTTACCGCAGCGTCTGCAACTTGCAGCTGGGATGTCTCAGTCCCTCGCACAGCAGCCGCACGCCGCCAGCCCCCAGACCACGGTTACCACGTAGGTCCAGCTCCGTCAGGCTGGGGCTGGTGCTGAGAGCAGCGGCGAGATCCCCACAGCAGGCAGCAGTCAGATAGCAACGCTGCAACCTGGAGGAGAGAGAAGCTCGGCGCAGAGTGAGCAGGGCATGAACGAGGCCATGGCAGAAGCTGTGCCAGGCAGCCCCCGCACCCGCCTCTCCTGAAGGACATGAACACGAAGGACCAGGCAGGAAGGTCCACAGTTCACCTTTGAAACATGGACCTTTCAAAGCAGGATTTGTGTGTGTGTGTGCGCGCGCGCGCGCGCGTGTGTGTGTGTGTGTGAGAGAGAGAGAGGGAGAGAGGAGGCACACAGTGTGTGTGTGTGCATGAGGCGGCACACGGATGTGTCTGGGTGAGCGAGCAGGCACTGGGAGTGTGTGCAGGCATGTATGTGTGTGTGTATGAAAAGGCACAGAAGTGTATGTATGTGTGAGGTGGTACATAGTTATGCGTGTGTGAGGAGGCACATGGGGTGTGTGAGTGTCAGAGGGCACAGGGGGAGTGTACATGCATGTGTGTGTGTATGAAGAGGGGTGTGTGTAGATGTGTGAGAGAGAGAGAGGAGGCAAACAGGTGAGTCATGTGTGTGTTTGGGAGTAGGCACTGGGCTTTTTCTTTGGTATGTGAGGAGGCACAGGGTAAATGTGTGTTTGTGTGAGGGGAGGAACATCGTGGGTTGAGGTGGGACATGGGTTTGTGTGTGTGAGTGTGAGGAGGCACAGGGGATGTGTGCATACATGTATGAGTGTATATAAAGAGGCACAGAGGTGTGCGTGTGTGTGTGTGTGTGTGTGTGGTGACACATAGTTATGTGTGTGTGAGGAGGCACAAGGGGTGTGTATGTGCATGCATGTGTGTGTATAAAGGTGTGTGTGTGCATGTGTATGTGTGAGAGAGAGAGAGGTGGCATGGGGTGTGTGTATAAGGAGTCACATGGGTACGTGTATGTGTGTGTGTGTGTATGTGGAGGCACAGGGGGTGTGAGAGGAGGCACAGGGGTATGTGGACATGTGTGTGTTTGTGGGCAGAAGCACAGAGGGATGTGAGTACGCGAGATAAAGAAGGCATATGGTTATATGTGTGTGAGCAGGCACAGGGGTGTGGAGGAACAGGGATGTATGTGTGCATGTATGTGTATGTATGAAGAGGGGTGTGTCTGGATGTGTGTGTGTGAGACGAGAGAGAGGAGGCACTGGTGTGTGTAGTGTGTGTGTGTGAATAGGCACAGGAGCGGGGTGTGTTTACATGCGTGTGTGGAGGCACAGGTGTGTGTGTGTAAGTATGAGCAGGAACAGGGGTGTGTGTGTGCATGTATGTGTGTGTGTGTCAACAGGCACAGAAGTCTGTGCATTGTGGGAATGTGTGAGCATGAGATGTGGCACTGGGGTGTGACTGTGTGTGAGAGAGGAGGCACTGGGCTGTGTGCACATGTATTTGTGGAGGTAATGGGTGTTTGTGGGATGGGATGTGTGAGGAGGCATAGGTGAGTGTGTGTGTGTATGTGAGGATACAAATAGTTGTGTGTGTAGTGAGTCACACAGATGTGTGTGTGCGCAAGTGTGAGCAGACACAGGTGTGTGCCTTTATATATGTATGTGTTTATCAAAAGGCGGACGTGTGTGTGTGCACACGTGTGGAGGCACCGGGCTGTGTGCGGGTGTGTGTGAGGAGGCACAGGGGATGAGTGTGTGTCTGTGTGTGAGTACATGCACAAGATAAGGTACTGGGGTGTGTCTGTGTGTGACAGAGGAGGCACCAGGCTGTGTGCATGTGTATGTGAGGAGGCAGAGGGTGTCTGTGTGTGTGTGCATGTGTGGAGGCACAGGGGTGTGTGCTTGTGTGAGGAGGTACAGGGTTGTGTGTGTGTGAAGAGGCACAGGGGTGTGTGTGTGTGTGTGTGTGTTAGAAAAGAACAGGGTTGCATCCGTGTGTGTGTCACGAGGCATACGGGGGTGGGGGGGTGAGAGAGACAGGGAGAGAAAGAGAGGCACACGGATGTTTCGTGTGTGTTTGTCAGGAGGCACCGGGCTGTGCGTGTGTGTGAGATGAGCACTGATGTGTTTCTGTGTATGTGAGGAGGCATGTGGTGTGTGTTTGTATGTAAGAGTGTGTTTGTGTGTGTGTGTGTGTGAGGAGGCACAAGGGTAGATCTGCATGCATGTATGGATGTGTGTGTGTAAAAAGGCAAAGGGGGGTGTGTGTGCGAGGAGGCATAGGGTGTGTGTGTGTTTTTCTGTATGTATTTGTGTGAGAGGAGGCACACAGGTGTTTTGTGTGTGAAGAGGCACCTGGCTTTGTGTGTGTGAGTGTGAGGAGGCAAAGGTTGTGTGTGCATTCATGTATGTGTGTGTATGAAGAGGGGTGTATGTGGATGTGTGTGTGCCTGTCTGTGTGAGGGGGGGGAGAGGCACAGGGGTGTGTTGTGTGTGTGTGTAGGCAGTGGGCTGTGTGTGTGTGTGTGTGTGTGTGTGTGTGAGAGAGGAGGCACAAGGGTGTGTGCGTGTGTGTAGGCAGATGGCGGGGTGTGTGTGAGTATGAGCAGGGACAGGGTGCGTGTGTGTGCATGTATGTGTGTGTGCTTGAAAAAGCAGAGACGTGTCTCTGTGTGTGCGTTTGAGCATGAAACGCAGCACTGGGGTGTGTCTGTGTGTGTCACACAGGAAGCATTCACACACGTGGGCTATGTACACGTGTATTCAAGGAGGCACAGGGTGTGTGTGTCGTTGTGCTTGCCTGTGTGGGTGGGTATGTGTGGAGTTATGTGTATGTGAGGAGGCACATGGGGTGTGTGAGTGTTAAAGGGCACAGGGGGAGTGTACATGCATGCATGTGTGTGTGTATGAAGAGGGGTGTGTAGATGTGTGAGAGAGAGAGGAGGCAACCAAGTGAGTTGTGTGTGTGTTTGTGAGTAGGCACCAGGCTTTTTCATGTGTATGTGAGGAGGCACAAGGTAAGTGTGTTTGTATTTGTGTGAGACGAGGGATATGGGGGGGGTGAGGAAGCACATGGGTTTGTGTGTGTGAGTGTGAGAAGGCACGGGGTGTGTGCATGCATTTATTTGTGTGTGTATAAAGAAGCAAAGGGTGTGTGTGTGTGTGTGTGTGTATGTGTATGTGTCTGTGCAAGTTTGAGGAGGCACACAGGGGTGTGTATGTGAGTACGAACAGCCACGGGGGGGTGCATACATATATGTGTGTGTATGAAGAGGCACAGTACTGTGAGTGTGTGTGTGTGTGCATGTGTGCGCCAGATGCAGAACTGGGGTGTCTCTGTGAGTGTGTGAGTGAGGAGGCACTGGGTTGTGTGCACGTATATTCAAGGAGGCACAGTGGGTGTGTGGGTGTGAGGAGGCACAGGTGAGTGCGTGTGTATGTGAGGATGCACATGGGTTTGTGTGTGTGAGTGTAAGGAGGCACAGAGTGTGTGTATGTATGTGTGTGTGTGCAGACACAGGGGTGCGTGCGTGCATGAATGTTTGTGTGTATGAAGAGGCACAGGGGGTGTGTATTTGTGTGTGTGAAGAAGACCATGGGGTGTGTGTGTGTGTGAGGAGGTGCAGGGTTCAATCCACGTGTGTGTGTCAAGAGTCAAATGGGTGTGTGTGTGTGTGTGTGTGTGTGTGTGTGTGTGTGAGAGGGAGGCACAAGGATGTGTTGTGTGTGTTTGTCAGGCGGCACCGGGCTGTGGGCATGTGTGTGTGTGAGAGATAAGCACTGGTGTGTTTCTCTGTATGTGAGGAGGCACAGAGGGGGGTGTCTCGGAGTGTGTGTGTGTGTGTCTGTGTGTGTGTGTGTGTGTGTGTGTGTGTGAGAGAGAGAGGAAGCACAGCGGTGTGTCTGCGTGCATGTACGTGTGTGTGTGTATAAATAGGCACACAGGTGTGTGTGAGGAGGCACAGGGGTGTGTCCATGTGTGTCTGTGAGGAGGCATAGGGGGTGTGTGTGTATTGTATGTTTGTGTTTGTGTGAGAGGAGGCACACGGGTGTGTTTCTGTGTGATGAGGCACGTGGGTTAATGTGTGTGTGACTGTGAGGAGGCACAGGGTATGTGTGCATTCATGTATGTGTGTATATGAAGGGTGTATGTGAATGTGTGTGTGTCTCTGTGTCTGGGAGAGAGAGGGAGAGTGGAGGCACTGGGGTGTGTTGTGTGTGTGAGTAGGCAGCGGGCTGTGTGTGTGTGAGAGAGGAAGCACATGGGTGTGTGCATGTGTGTAGGCATGTGGGTGTGTGTGTGTATGAGCAGGGAGAAGGGATGTGTGCATGCATGTATGTGTGTGTTCTTGAAAAGGCACAGACGTGTGTCTCTGTGTGTGCGTGTGAGCATGAAACGCAGCACTGGGGTGTCTGTGTGCATGGCACAGGAGGCACTCACACACGTGGGCTGTGTGCACGTGTATTCAAGGAGGCACAGGGGGGTGTGTGTGTGTGTGTGTGTTTCCTGTGCAGTTGGGCACGTGAGGAAACACAGATAAGTGTGTGTGCCTGTGTGTGTGTGAGGATGCCCATGGTTGTGTATATGTGAGGAGGCATACAGATGTGTGTGTGTGTGTGTGTGAGTGTGAGCAGGCACAGGGGTGTGTGCATGCATGTATGTGTTTGCATATAAAGAGGCACAGAGGTAGCATTCGTGTGTGTGTGAAGACGCACAGGGGGTGCGCACGTGTGTGTGTGTGCATGTGCTGTGCACACGCACATGTGTGTGCATAGTGCACCCCATGCTGGATTTCCTTAACTGCGTCCTGGATTTCACTACTAATTGTACGCTCCCCACACCCAGCAGAGACCCACAAGCACAGCCCCAGGCGTCTCCAGCCAGCCGCCCTAGTCCACTGTCCCAACACCAGGACGAAGACACCTCGCCGTGTTGAACGTTCCCAGAGAGACCCTAGCGAGTGCCCGCAGGAAGCGCCATGCTCCTTACCGCAGTGTCTGCAACTTGCAGCTGGGATGTCTCAGTCCCTCGCACAGCAGCTGCACGCCACCAGCCCCCAGACCAGAGTTTTCACTCAGGTCCAGCTCCGTCAGGCTGGGGCTGGTGCTGAGAGCAGCGGCGAGATCCCCACAGCAGGCGGGTGTAAGACGCCAATGCCACAACCTGGAGGAGAGAGAAGCACGGCGCAGAGTGAGCAGGGCATGAACGAGGCCATGGCAGAAGCTGTGCCAGGCAGCCCCCGCACCCGCCTCTCCTGAAGGACATGAACATGAAGGACCAGGCGGAAAGGTCCACGCTTCACCTTTGAAACCTGGACCTTTTGAAGGGGGGGTGTGAAAGAGAGAGAAAGGAGGCACACGGTGTGTGTATGTGTGTGTGCGCATGAGGCGGCACATGGATGTGTCTGTGTAAGTCTGAGCAGGCACAGGGAGTGTGTGCATGCATGCATGTGTCTGTGTATGAAGAGGGGTGTGTGTAGATGCATGTGTGAGAAGACAGAGAGAGAGAGAGGAGGCAAACAGGTGTGTTGTGTGTGTGTGTGTTTGGGAGTAGGCACCGGGCTTTTTTGTGTGTATGTGAGGAGCCACAGGGTATGTGTGTGTTTTTGTGAGAGGAGGAACATGGGGGGGCGGTGAGGAGGCACATGGGTTTGTGTGTGTGAGAAGGCACAGGGTGTGTGTGCAAGGATTTATTTGTGTGTGTATGAAGAGGCAAAGAAGTGTGTGTATCTGTGTGTGTATCTGTGTGTCTGCACAAGTTTGAGGAGGCACACAGGTGTGTATGTGAGTACGAGGAGGCACAAGGGGAGGGTGCATGCATGTATGTGTGTGTATGAAGAGGCACAGAAGTGTGCACATGTGTGTGTGTGCGTATGTGTTCACAAGATACACAACTGTGGTGTGTCTGTGCATGTGTGTGTGAGGGAGGGGCACTGGGCTGCGTGCACATGTTTTCAATGAGGCACACTGGGTGTGTGGGTGTGAGGAGGCACAGGTGAGTGTGTGTGTGTATGTGTGTGAGGATGCACATGGTTGTCCATGGGTGTGTGAGGATGCACATGGGTTTGTGTGTGCAAGTGTAAGGAGACACAGGTGGTGTATGCATGTATGTATGTGGGTGGGTGTGTGAGTGTGAGGAGGCAGAGGGTGTGTGTGCATTCATTTATGTGTGTGTATGAAGAGGGGTATGTGTGGATGTGTGTTTGTGTGTGTGGGAGAGAGAGAGGGGAGGCACAGGGGTGTGTGGTGTTTCTGTCTAGGCACTGGGCTGTGTGTGTGTGTGTGTGTTTCTGTGGAGGCACAGGGGTGTGTGCGTGTGTGTGTTTTATTTGTGGACAGGCGCTCCTTCTTCAAGAGCAGCTGCTAATGCTCAATGTCAACATAATTACTGAAAAAATCGACGAGAAGCTAAGCGAAATATTCTTCAGCTACTGACAGAAGTGTCTGAAAACACGTCCAGTGAGAAATGCAAAACCTGCCAACACATCTCCACCACCCCCACTATTACTACACCCCACAACAGAGCCATCAGCATCCCAGGATCTTACAGCTGCACCTCCAGAAATGTAGTATACCTCATCCAGTGCCCCAAATGCCCTGATGGAAGATACATGGGAGAGACCAAACAACAACTGCGCACCAGAATGAACGCACACCGGAAATCCATCAAAGACAGAAACACTCAATTACTGGTGGGGGCACAGGGATGTATGCGTGCATGTATGTGCGTGTGTATGAAGAGGGGTGTGTCTGGATGTGTGTGTGTGAGACAGAGAGAGAGAGAGAGAGAGGAGGCACTGTGGTGTGTAGTGTGTTTGTGTGTACGTGAGAAGGCACAGGAGCAGGGTGTGTTTATGTGTGTGTGTGAGGGGGCAGAGGTAGTGTTCTCGTCGATCCTCCCAGTCTCAGGCTATGGGCTGAGAAGGGACAGGAGGATCTATGTGGTCAACCAAAGACTGCAGCGCTGGTGTCGTCGGGAAGGCTTTGGCTTCCATGACCACAGCCCGCTCTTTGGCGAGAGAGGCAGCGAGCTGCTGGGAAGAGATGGCCTCCACCTCTCTCCCCTAGGGAGGAGGCTCTTCTCAGCCAGACTGGCTGACCT